GGCAACATTTCTGTGTGGCAGGACACTGGCCATCATGGAAACAGCCTTCAGCACGCAGAGGAATCATCTCCGGTATCGGACATTGACCAGGCTTCACTGCGTGGACACAGACGGTCAGCTTTAGTTTGTGCATATAGACCGTATGCCACTTCAATATACAGCACGAAACACTCAAAGCATAAATAGCAAGTTTTACCTACAGAGTGAATTATACTCTAGTATTATTCTGCTTTATTTTGTAAAGCCATCCTGTGCTTAAAACTACCCAAGGGATTAATTCAAACCTACTTTAGACGAGAACAACAAAACACAAAGTCTCTGCTTAAAACTTGCATGGAATTCAATGTGTTACTCGTGTGTGTTTTCGGTTTGTGTTTTTTTTTTTTAGAGAATTCAAGGTGTTTCTAGTGTGTGTGTGTGTGTGTGTGTGTGTGTGTGTGTGTGTTTGGCTTTGTTTTTTGGACCCTTAGCATCCATTATTAACTGAAACTCACTGAAAACAGGCAGCACGCAAACGGGCCCACAGTCAAATTGACAGCATTTGTGTCCTCCAGGGCAGTCTTTATCAGAAGAACATCCTCGACGGGACGGCACGACCATCAGCCTCGCCGGACATAAACCGTCCACTAGAGGATTCAAGAGGATCATTAGTGGAGACCAGGGATTGCAGTTTCAGCATTGTAAATCAGGGGTTTCGCAGTGAGTCTCAAACAAATCTTCAGACTGTGTAATGAAGTCAACAGATCTTCTCACCTCTGGTTCCTCTTTGAATAGCGTGAGTTATGCTCAACTACCCGAACAGATACAACAAAACGGCAATCAACGACAAACAAACTCGAGCTGTCATCCTCCCGATCTGTGAACTCAACGACAAATACACTCGAGCTGCCATCCTCCCAACCTGTGAACACACAACGATCTGTGCTGGAAAATGTGCTGAATTGGTGCGTCAGATACAAATACGTGTTGCTACGATATGATCCTCTGTAAAATGGGGTTTTAAAGATCCAAGGAGATCAGGTCAATTCCAACCCTGATCAAACTCACCTGCCTGTAGTTTTCTAGTAATCTGGAAGGCCTAAATTAGCTTGTTCAGGTGTGTTTGATTGGGGTTGGATGAGCTGAATGGTGCGTTCAAGCCACGTCAAATAATTAAGGTAGCCTAATTACGAGAGGATTGTGCGTTTATGGCGACACTATCAACTGCAAAATGAATCTGCAGTGGTCAGGCGGTACAGTGATCATGTTTTTGTTTTGTTTTGTTTTTTTTTAACCAGAACAAAA